AGGGTGCCCCAGTTCTAGGCTGCTCTCTCCTGCTACATCCTCAGGGCAGTGGGATCTCCTTCAGATCCAACTTGGAGTAGTGCCCTGAAGGCTGGAGGTGGCCAAAAAGCCTCAGTTCCCCAGCCCTTGGGAAGGCTGAGAAGGCACTCTCGTTCTCCCTCTCTTGGTTTGAACCTGAAAGGAAGGAGAGGGACTCCATGGAGAGCCTCTGCTTTTGCTCTTTGCTAGGAATAAGGAGGCAGTGTGGGCAACAAAAGGGGAAAGGCAGAAGAGGGGATAAGCAAAGCAATTTCCCCCTGATTTGATCCTTTTTTAAGGGTCTGTGTTTGCAAGTGTATCAATAAACAGTTAATTACAGCACTAAATCAATAGCTATTTTACTTGACACTGGGGCACAGGACATAGGCCAGGTACCTTGTAAAAAGGGAGAACCCAAACCTCGCTTTCTGAAACCCAAATTCTTGTGGTTACCTGAGTACACTCTTACACATACCTATGTTTAATGTGCCTAGAACTACAAAAGCTACCGGACCTATCCAATCACAAGTATTCTCAGTGCCCTCAAAAGATTGTCTAGTAAAACTTAAACTGTCTGTTTAAGTGATTCCCTTTCCAGAACTATAACTCTGAAGTCAAGACTTCCCCCCTTGTCACCTTCCTGGGTGCCAACCTGTGCCAGGCTCCCTGATCCTGGCTCCCCCAGGTGCAGCAACAGTATGACAGAAGCTGAAAGGAGCATCCTCTGCAGCCCTGGTTCTTCTGAGCCTTGCCACTGCATCCATGACAGCCTTCTGCTCACATCTAAGCAGCCTGCATTCTTTGCTTCACTTGTATTTGCGTCAGATATCTTTTCAGAGCTTTCTCTCCCTTTATTTGTTAGTGATTACAAATCAATGGCTGTGGGTGAGTTTGTATTCAATCTGATAACAAGCATGTTTTATTGTTTGTCATTTATGTAACAGTTTCCAAACACCAAGACTATCTCCTAAGTCACTGTACACTGGAGTCACAGATTTATCCTCCAGGAGCAGGAGCAGAACTGCTGGGAGCAGACTTTTTGATTTCAAAGAGAAAGACTTTACTGCAGCACAGCCATGAATCACAGCTGAATGTGGGACTGGAAAGGAATTTTTTTTTCAGGCTCTCCATGTTTTATTTGTATTTTTGTTGGGTTTTTGTTTTTTTTTTTTGCCTGCTTTACATATAGTTCCAGAGCAGTGGGTGGTACTCAGATCATCTCCATAAACAAATGATCTGGAAAGCAACCTGGAGTTTAATTTCCTTAACCGATCAGACCCTCCTAAACTTAGGCAGCAGAACATTGGTCTGAAACCTTGACTCGGTATTCTGGGAAGCCCAGAGGGGGGAAGGATGAACTGTTGATTTTTCTTTCCTACTTCTGTTAAAAGGCACCCAAGCATGGCTCTTCCTACCCTGACTAACCTGGGTAGGTGCCAGATGGATTTCCCCTTTCTCTAGGCAATGGCTGAGGAATTTCAGCTGGCTAGGGCCAGGGCTGGAGGCTTTTCAGTGGCCTTTTCATCCCAGCCTGCCCTTTCTCAGCAGCTAATCCCATCTCTGTCCAGATCCACTATTCGCTGGACTGTGCTGCTCCTTTACAATCAGCTTGCAGAGGACTAAATTCTGCCTTTTCCTTGTGGAAACAAAGAGATGTGTCTGAAAGAAAAGCTTCCAGCCACTCATGGAAAAAGGAATTAAAATCCTGAGGCTGTGCCTATGGTAGTAGGGTGGGTGGCTGGCCAAAAAAGCATGCTGGCCAGGCTCGTTAAAAAGAAATTTGTATTATGCACTTCTCAGTATTTATCATGGGTAACTAATCTTAAGAAAACACGATCCACAAAGCTGCTGAAAAGCTCGCAGGGAAAAATTTATCTCCTCAATGACTGGAGCTTCTCATCCACTTTGCTTTCTGTGCTGTAAGACACAGCACATGACACAAAGCATATCTGGATTTAGCGCGGGACATGATCACCCTCACCTAATCCTGTAACTGCATAATGTCTTTCTATGCCAACCAAAATCTTTAATTGTCTCTGCTTTTCTTAACATACACTGCAAGCACTCAGAGGGTTATGTTGCACAAATTATAACTCATTCCTCCTCCTTTTTCCTATCAAGCTGTCTCTCATAAAAAACCACACAGCAGAGCTGCATCACTCTAACCAAAGCATCTCCTCCTCCGAGGTGTGAGCAGTGAAGATAGCACATGACTCGCTGTGCTGCAGGCTGCCATGCTTTCAAATCCCTCCAAGCACTCAGGAGTTAAGCCCTCCCTGGTGCCCGTGACCCAGGCTATTAGCATGCAGCCCATGTAGTACAGCTCCCGCGGGCAAACATCCACGCACAGCCCCTCAGCGCCCAGCCCTGCACCCGCCTATCAGCGCCGCGCAGCACAAGCATCTCCCCAGCCCGCAGCCCACACTCAATGCAGCAAGCCTGGCTCGAAAACGGCAGCCGAACCCTACAGCAAAGAAAGCACTTTGGAGCCTCGGCTTCCCAGCTCACCTGACAGGCTACCGCAGCACTCAACTGCACTAAGAAAACTCCAAGGATTTCCTCATTCTCAAAAGCATAAACAACTTTCAGTTTCTCTTTCTTTTAAGAATCTCATCTATCCACTCCTTCTCAGGCAGTGCCTGACTTGCACTGTTAGAGCCTGGGTAAGTTTTTACAACTGGGAAAATATTTTTTAGAGGAAGCAGCTGTCCCCACTCCTTTCTTTCATATTTTTGGTTCATCCCTCCTAAGGAAACAGTTGCTAGCACAAACCCAGAAATTCCAACTGGCCTTCAGGAGACAGATGCTGTCTTACTGGCCAGTTCCTGTGACATTCATTTTACTCTCAAGCACATTTTAATACATCATTGTTAAAAAAAAAAAAAAAAGGCAAACATTAAGAAAAAAGCACTTCCTCTCTGTGAAACATGTAGCATCTTCAACAAAAAATTGACACCAGTTCCTTCTTCTCCCAAAGCCTAATCCCATCATTGTACAGCCACTATCAGTTCCTAAAATGCATCTTGAAAGATAGCAGAGGTATTCATTGTTTGTCTACTTTCTTTTGTTTCTATCAGTGAATTGAGTACGGGTTACATCCCTGCCAATTTTGTTTCCAATAGCATAGGAAAATACGACTATGACAAATTGCTTTTATTACTTCCTTAAACAAAAACTGAAACTTGTCCAAAAAAGCACATGAAAGACTAACTTGGATGATTTGAGCTTTTGCCAGGTACAGAAGTAATACAATAATGCAATAACTGACATGGATACTGATAAAGCAGTATTTAACAGGGCATTGAAAGAACGCTTGATTTTAATAGTACAAGGGAGGTTAATTGGTTCTTTCATAGCTTGCGCTAAAAATAAAGCAGATTTTCAGTCAAAACAACACATTTCTTATTTTGTATACATGCCACTGTGCTGTCTTATGACCCTAGTTCTGAAGTTCAGCAACACTCAGAAGCCATCCTGACTTCACAGACATCACAGGGGCATGGGATGGGTCCTTACACTCAGTCTGAGCGAGAGCACAGTAATTAAGCATGGCTGTGATGAAACCCCTCCACTTAATAAGCAACAGAATTGGGACTACCACAGTGAATCTCTTTTTGTGTTTGTCTACTTTCCTCACCTTAGCATGTAACCTTGCTGCCCCTGAAACCACCAGGAGCTTTGCAAGGGATTAAAGAGGAAGCAAGCCCAGGTCAAAAGGTGCAAGTCCCTTTTTGTTTGAGGAAATTACACTGGGAACCAGCCAACTCTTCCGAGTGTTACATGTGGCCCTGAAAACATTGTCATGATCCCACAGGGCTGGTTTCGCACTGAGGATGCCGGCGGTACATGAGCCTATGGTCCACCAGTGTGGATACCAAGCCCATCTCAAAGGGACAGCAGTGTGAGCATCTCTATAAATTGCACCAGTCTAGGAGCAGTTCTCATGCTGGGTTATCTCAGCTCGGCATCTTGGCTGCCCTGGCTGTCCCACCTGGGGATCAGTGCTGGCATTTGGTCAGCACCTTTTGCACAGGCTTCAGTGCCTTGGGAATGGAGCTTGCTCCTCTGCTATCCTTCTCTTGGCTATTATAATTAGGACAAAAGCCCTGTCGCTTGTTTCAGCTTATTTCAAAATCTAATCCTGTGTTCTGGTTCTCTGCAAATATTTCCATTTAGCCAAATGACACATTTTATGTAGGTGAGGCCAAGAAGAAGGGTGAGGGAGAGATCTACCAATTCATCTCAATTTCCATTTTCAAATACAGTGCGTGAATCTCCTTTACATACACTACAATTCATTCTCTATTTACTCTAGGTACACAGAAAAACTCATTGTGGAGCACTCATTTTCGCAAGCTAATCAAGAACATTAGGTCCCAACAGATTCATTTAATAGAAATATAGTAGATATTCCTGCTTGCCTTTCATCTCACCTAGCTGCAAATGCTAAAATGAACAGAGTTAACCCTGCTTTGGAACTAAGATCCCTTTGCAGCTAACAGTGGCTGTGCTTCAGCTTGCAAACACTGCAGGCTCCCCATCAGTGCTTCCTGGCTTTTGCTCTTTCCCCGCAGCAGAGGAGCAGTGAGGAGAGGGCTGTGGGCGAGGAAGCTCTGAGCCCTATGGCCATATGTACTGACTGGATGGGACTGAGAGCTTTGGGGCACCAGCCTGGCTGTCTCCTTGCACCACATGGGACCAGGCAGCACCACGAGGCCATTCACATTCTGACATCAAACATACGAGATTGGCAAGCAATTCAAGATCTTAAATTGTTCGCGGATACCAGAACTAGCATTAGAATGCTAAACAGAAACACACACAAAAAGAAAAAAAAAAGAAAAGAAAAGAAAAAAAGAAAAGAAAAAAAAAGTAATATTTCATAATGTATGGCATAATGAACAAAAGCCTTTCAGAAAGAAAAACGGTTTTCACTGTGCTAAAGTAACAATCTAGACTTGTTGTAAGTATGTTATTCTTACAAGTAGTTCGCAGTTATTCTTGAAGGCAAGTCTTGGAGTTTCCTTAGCATAGTGCTGCTGGGGAAAATTTTCAGCATGTCCATCTTCATCTCTAGCCTGAAGGGAAATATAATGGCCTATTTAGGGACTTACAAATAATGGAAGGAAAAAAAAATAGCTAAAAGCATAACAGCTCAGATCATTAAAACAGACGGGAATCCCCAAACACAACATTATTAAAAAGTTTGTTTAAATACACCTTTTAGATACGAGAACCTGCGATGCCGTTCTCTCACACAGCTTAGGTTGAACATGCAAATTCATCGCAGCATAATCATTAGAACAACAAAGGACAAACCCAAAACAAAATATTTGAGCTGGAAACCGTGAGTAACTTCAGGGTTTCCATTTACTTCATTGCATTTTTCAGGATTACATTACATACGTTCTCGTTTCAACTTTTTGACATGCGTAAGCAATCCCTAGATAATGTATTTTCAGTTTAACAGCAAGGCCAAAAAAAATAAATCAGCTTTCATAGTCATATTTTACACGTAACACTATTGCAGACAAACGGACTCCCCCTCCGTGCTTAAGCGAAGATCCAAAAGGAGCAATCAGCTCGCGAGAGCAGCCACCCTTCCATCAAACGCGGGAAAAATGTTTAATTACAAAGATGCATTAAAAGTTACCGGTTATTTGGAGCTGCACTGTTAATTAAGAAAGCCGAAGTTTAAATGGAGACATTAACAGAGCCCATTAGCAACACTGCCTGCATATAGCATTTTCCTCCTAATCTGCAGCGTTTTCGGGTTTTGAGCTGAAGCAAAAGGGAGAAGAGGGTGAGAGGAGGAGTGTCGGCAGAGCACTCATTACACTGTTCATTTGGGTGACACTTGCACTCTGTTCCGCTCCGTCTCATCTGATCCCTGACTGTTCGCTCTCTCCCTCTCGCAGCCTCCCGAAATTCACAGCTGAGCTGTCTCCCTCGCATATGGCTTGCATATAATTATGCACATTCCATTTTACACTGCATTAAAATGATGAGATCCTGGCTCCCTGCCAGCGTATTTAAATAAGCCCCAATGAGCCGGGGGTGGGGGAAGGAGTGGGGCCGAGGAAGGGATGTGGGGGGGACGCAGCACATTGCTGTTCCAGTCCCCACAACAAGGTGACGGCCAGGCCTGGGCGGCACGGCATCTCCGCGGCTGTGGCAGCGCTCCTGTGTGGTGTGGTGTGAGCTGCTCGTTTGCACGTGTCGCGCTGCCAGCGCAGGGACATTTTTTTTAGTGTTGGCATTTGTGAAAGCTATTTGCACCTTGCACGTTGCACAGCTGGTTCGCCTGCAGAGAAGCTTCTGCCTCTCCTCTGGAGAAGGACTGGGGAAAGGAAGCAGCGGGTGAGTGGTGCAGGGATTTTTGGGAAAACGTGACGGGGTTACACCAGCTGCACCTCAGCTCTCAGCTGGCTGCCCTGCAACATTAGCAAAATTTGCCCAATGGAGACAAAGCAATTTTTAAAAGCACAAACTTTGCCCAAAAGTATCTTTCAAACAGCAGCTACTATCGGGAAATAGAAAAATAGCTTACAATGTGTGTGTCATAGCAGCTCATATGTATTTTTTTCTTTTGCTGCCTCAATAGCTGCCGTGTGGAAAATGTTTTACAATTTTCCTTCTAACCACAAAGAAGAGGCAAAGCATTCCCAAGCGCCCCAAATCCCTTTCATATTGACAAAGGCTTAAATGTATTCTTCTAATTATTAACTTGGAACTGAACCGTGTCTCATACAATACATTTCCCTCCCATGCTGCATCAAATACCAAGTCCAAATCTGAACATATTTTATTAAAAAAATAAAATAAAATCACTCATTTTGAAAACAAACTTGGTCATTTTCTCATCTCGCAGCCTGTGTGAAGGGACACGGCCAGCTGAGGCCCTTCCAAGCACTTCAGAACTCAACACAAATGCCCTCCCAATGCCATGCACAGGTCAGCAACAGCAGCTCCAGCAGCAGCTCTGCCCTGCAGATACGTCTGCACCTCCATGCAGCCAGGTGGCAGAGACCTGCTGAGACCTCGCATGGGGCTGGATGGGCGCTGCACAGAGCTGGGAGTGCTGCCCCACAGCCGTGCAGCCGTGTCTTGGATCTGCAGTGGACGCTGCACACGTGCCAGGCTGCAGGTTGCAGCCTGTCTCTTGGGGCCATGTCCCAGTGCACACACCTTGCAAAGTGAAATGGATAGCAGGGTGTTTGTGATGCACATGTCACAACACAGAGACAAAGCCCGCTGACCTTGAGCCACTTACCAAAACTGCTGGTTCAACAAAGGCTGCTTCTGCCAGCGACACGCTCCCCTCCTGCCTTTCCTTACTTCATTTAACTTCAGATGTCACCAAAATTTCCTCGTCTCAAAACCAGTTGAATGGCATACTGCTATCATTTACTCAAGCAGCAAAAGTATATTTGGCTAGCTCCTTTTCACTGGATAAAATACTTGCCTTCAGCAGCCAGACCTATTTCCCCAGCTGCCTCACATGAATCCATCACTACCATCTTCCAGTTGTAAATAATTTGTAGAAGGAAATACCCTTACAATGTTCAGTACGTTATAAGCGTATTAAGAGCGGCTCAGAGTTTATCGTGTCACTGCAGCACTGCGATATGCCGGTATCTGTGCTGAGTCCCTCTCTGTCACTGCTTTACACCAGCAGGCACCTGCCCTATCTGCCCTGCCTCTCTGCCTCGCTCCCAGCACGCTGGCATCTGCAGCTTCTCCATCAGCCCTACTGACATGGGGGACACTTTGAGTGCTACTGTTCAAAAGAAGCAGCTGAAAAAAAGCAAATCAAATCTGTCATTTCCTGTTTTCAAAAATGCTTTTAAACCCCAATACTGTTACAGAAATGCTTTCAACAAAAAGTGCATGTCCAAAGTGCTAGATGTAATGAATGCATGTATGCAATATACGGTACGACTGCTCTCATAGCACATCTTGTTCCAGGTAATAAAGGCTTCAGCTCTTACTCAGCCTTGGGATCACAGTGAACACTCACTTTCATCAGCAGAAAACTACTTCAACTTTTCTGTGGCAACACCTCTCCTGGGACTTCCAAATCCCTCACTGAGCAGCCCCAGCTGGCAGGTATCTGCCTATTGGCAGGGTGACATCCAGGAGGGGAACTCAGCACAGGAACTGCTGGCAGAGGAGAGCACATCACCCAGGGCATGTTGATGGCCAGGAAGATCTACAAAGGAGAGTACAGCCATCTCTGTGGGGCTGGCTTGACTTACAGGTTCAACATGATGATGGGTGGCAGAGGATATTGTGGCCTTTAATTGCAGGTTAGATATCAGGAAACCTGTCTTAATGATAGGTACTGCAAAGCATTGGAGTAGATTGCCTAAGGAGGCTGTCAAAGCCCCATCACTAGAGATTTTTAAGAGCAGATTAGGCAAACATCTGTCAGAAATGGCGTGCACAGAGTAGCTCCTGACTTGAGGAAGTGGGATGGATGAGTGCAGCTCCTCTTCCAGGTCCCTTCCTTTGTTGTTCCCTGGCACTGAGCTTTGGAGGAAAATGGCAGGAGGATAAGGGGGAAAAAAAAAAAAAGAAATCAAAAAAAGAACAGAAAGAGGGATCTGGAAGGGCCTCTCTGAAAATAGCACAGCATTTGATGTTCAGTGTGTACTCATTAATAAGTGCATCATGACAGCTATCTTTGGCTACACAAACTGTGCTATCTGCTCATCAGCCAAGCAGCCTATATTTGTGAAAGATAGTAGTTTGGAAACAGACTATATATCAAGTCAAGATTTCCTTTTTTAACAAGAAGGAGGAAGAACAATCTACAGTAGGATTTCCTTCTCTCCAAAGTGCTTCAATTTCTGCATGGATATTTGTTTCTTCGTAGAGAAAAAAAAATATCTTGATCCAGATTGGGGATTTCTTAGCTTCAATGCCTTTTTATGCAGCCTTAATACTGGAAAAGGAAATCTGTGCTTGTAGCTAATACTAAGGGCAGGATCTCATGACAGTGTAAGTCACAAGGCAGGCTGAACAGAATAATTTATTAAGATGGAACTTGTTAATGCAAAGCTTTCACTAAAACGGGACAATGCTTTTGCAATAAAATCCTAATGCTAAGTTCCACAAAAGTTTAATGCCACTTAAATGAAAACACCTAACATCTACTTTCTAGGAGAAATGTCCGATCGAGTAATGCAGAGTGACAGAATATTAGCCTGCTTACTCTGTATAAAATTGACATCTAATTTCCCTAAATGTCCTTTAAAATGGATGAAACACGTGGCAGCCACCCCTAGATATATTAGAGGCAGGCTGTGTCTCTAGTAGGACAAAAAAAGCCATGGCAAGTCAAACATCATCGCTAGAGAAGCACAGACAACTGCTGTATAGCTGGCATCCTGTTGTGATGAGAAGCCTGCATTGCTCTCAATGTTATTGTCCTGGACTGGATGCAGATGGGGCAGAGCACCGTGCCTCCACATTCCCCACAGAGGTATCTCTCCAGCCAGAGGGGTGAGGAATTCCTCATCCTCCAAATGCATCTCTTGAAGGAAATCCTCGGGGAGACCCTAATCCTTGAAATTCCAGTTCCTGTGGCTTGCTGTTGTCCCACATAATCAATTGTCATGGTCTCTGTATTTGCTGCACCAGCAACGGTAAAAATAGTACTCCGCTTCCATCTGTTGAGTGTATTCTTTCCAGAAATGTGGACGGGCTCACTGTGGCCTGGGGCTTGGTGGGAGCACTGTGGCCCTGCACCCACAGCAGAGCCTGTCCAGGACCCCTGGCACCATGCTCCCAAGGAGCGAGTCCCTCTCTCAGGGAAGACCCCCGCTAATACTTCACGAGAAATTTGCTTTCCACGAGGATTCCCAGATTTTCCTGAATGGTAGAGCAACACTACCTGTGGGCTCACCACATCTCTCAGCTGCACACAACCCACTAGCCTGCACAGTTGCCATTTTTTGGCCATCCCATACCTTGGGCCCTCCCCAGGAGAAAGAAGCCTGTCCAGCACAGAGGGGTTTTCTGCCGCAAGCAGCTCTGAACATTTGGTGGTGGGCTACGGAGAGTCTGTGGGCCA